ACTCCTCCAAAAAATAAATATAGTTTATTCAATAATAAATGAATATGTGAATCATAACAGTTCTTCACTATATCTGTAAAGCGTCTTTGAGCACCTGTAAAAGCGCTAACAAATTAAATCTATTATTATTATTATTTATTATTTATTTATACAGCTGATAGGAATAATATGATTGTTAATAGTATCATATTCATTCAGACAAACATCGATGAGACAGTTAATTAATGTACTTATTGCAGCAGTCTGCATAGATTTGGTACCCCTGCTGGTCTAAGAGTGAGACAAACTCATTCAGTTATTGTTCAGTTAAAATTCATTAAATTACATCTGCCACCTTATATGTAAGGCTTTACTGATGTGCCACAATAATATCACCTATGTGATTGAGTTAAAATATTAATATTGTGGCTTTCCAAGTTAACATTGATTGTAGGGGTGTAACGGTTCACAAACATTTCGGTTCGGTACGTACCTCGTTTGTAGGTCACGGTTCGGTTCGGTACGTTTTCGGTACAGCAGAAAAAATGATCACAAAACATTAAAAACATTTTTTTTATTATTATTAAACTGTGACTAATGTATTCAAATAAATACAACATATAGTCAAATAAACATTAAGGTGCAGCATTTCGATGAACTGAAATAATCTGTATTTGAACTGTACTAGTACCTAAGCAGCCAGCTTGACATTAGGACTTGCTTGTCATTGTATTTTCATGTTGTTTAAAGAAAGATTAACTTGTCCACATTGCTTGCTGAAATGGCAGATCTGCTGGCACTAACAATGTCTCCTGCTGTGGAGAACACCCTCTCTAGGGACAGAGGTAGCACAGCCAGGTAGCGCTTTGCTAGCATGGCAACATAAGGATATTTGGCGTTTGTAATAGCTTTGGCTCGGTCTGAACTCTTTGCGAGTGGTGGAGGCTTACATGCTAGTGGGAGTTGGGTTTGCACTTCAGTCTTTTTTCTTTTGGTACCGGTGATATTCACATTCGGGTGATGCCTTTTCAAATGAGTGTGATGTATTGCCAGCCGCGTAACCAATGTTAGTTGAACAATACCGACAAACAGCTTTGGTTCGGTCCACCTGTCTTTGTCCTTCATCCTTGTACGTAACTGCGAAACCAAAATGTTCCCAAACCGGAGACTTCAATGATGCTGGAGGATTTTCAGCTCAACTTTATCTGCGTTCGCCATTTCGACAGTTCCTCAAATTACTGACTACATTTGAACGCATCCCTGTGACCAGCTCTCATAGTATGCCTCTCGTCCAATGAAATTACTTGGTCGCTCTATGATATATACCTGAGATTACTTCCAGAAAGTTGTTCATGTTCTCAATTTTTTTACGTTTAACGCTATATTCGTTCGGTACACACGTGTACCGAACCGAAGGGCCCGTACCGAATAATTTCAGTACGGGTACCGTTACACCCCTAATTGATTGATATGATTGCGATTTAAATCAGCATATACTTCTGTCAGGGGATGCCACCCCTCAAAATCTCCTGCCACCCTCTTGCCACCCCATGAATATTTGTCTAGATCCGCCCCTGCCGCCAGAACCATCAATAGCTTTAGATAAACCTTGCGCTAATAGATATAGACAAACCTCTAAGTTGAACATTCATAACATGGTCTCAGTAAAAGTAACATACTTATTAACCAGTTATGACAACATATGCAAACATCCAGTATTGATTGTTGAATGAAAAGTAGAGCCAGAAAAACGTGAACCACCCCAGGAGTATAGAAGAGCAGTTGCTTGAACTAGCGGGCTGTAAGCCAACTGACTGTGTTATAAAATGTGGGCTAGTATGAGCAGCGCGAGCTGGCTTAAATTACACAATAATAAGAAAAACCACAAACGTTCGTAGCAAGCCCTAGCCCACAGCCCCATATACGTACATGTGGAGAGTGGCGGATTTAGGATTATAGGAGATCCGGGGCTTAGCCCAGGAGTTGTTGGGGGGGGGGGGGTGCAGGGGTACAGTGCTACCCCTGCCTGGGGGTGGACTGAACATCCTTTAGGGGGGTCGTCGCCTCCTCTTGGGGGGTCCGGGGGCATGCTCCCCCGGGAAGATTTTTTTTTAAATATTGAAGTTGAAAGCATCAATCTGGTGCACTTTGAGAGCAACATTAACCCTACCTTAATAACACCTTAAAGCGGACAAAAGGCACTGGAGAACACTCATTAACACCCTTTAATGAAGCAAACTAATGTCATAACTCACTCAAATAGTCGTTTACTTATTAAGGTGAAATGAATGTGCGTAGAGTTTTAAAGGATGCGGATAGTCTCACCTTGATTCTGGCGCATTGCTTATCGTTTTATAGATCTATTCTCATCCACCATCTTTGTTTGTGACGTAAAAAATGTGTAAGAGTCACGTTTCTGAATCGGACACTCTGAGTGGATGCAGTCACAGCCAATCGGAGTCTGATTCAGAGGGTTGCCTGTCAGTTCCGTTGGTACTGAAACGAGAGCCGGTATAATTCCACGCGCGAAAACAAAATAAAAAATGGAATACGTTATTTTAGTGTCTTAAAAGTAGACTGAGGTATGAAGGGTTAACGTTACATCTTAGGATAATTTTTAGTCATGTTCTGTATACATACTAACATAAGGGTATACTTAGTGTGGTTACTCCATGTTTACTAGCTATAACATTAACGTTACATCACTCTTTTTCACATCTTACTCAGTCAGCCAGAGTGCAGATATCAACATTAGATTAACAAACCTGAAACATTATCCATTTCGTCACTGCTGGTGATGACATTGTTGTCAGCTGCTGATACTGCTGCTGCTGCAGCTTGTGGCGCCTGCTTCAATGACAATAACTTTGTAATATCCATAACTGTATAGGCTATTAGCTTAAAACTCGTCAGGCACTAGGAAGGATCACTTCTACTTCAGGGCAGGCTACGCAGTACGCAGGCTAATGTCCCGCAGCGGATGCCTCTCTGGTGGACTCCGGTACTGCACATTACTCCCGAGACGTTTTCAAAACAAAAAAAAATGTAATTTTTTTTTTTTTTTAAGTGAAACATCCGGGGCTTTTCAGAAAACATCCGGGGCTTGAGCCCAAGTAGCCACCCCCTAGCGCCGCCACTGCTATGAAATGGGCAACAGAGCAAGTTGCCTTCTCGCATTCCAACTCAGAAAGGCCCAGACAAATAGGATCATCTCTAAAATAAGACACCCTAATTCTAAACAAATGTTGGCAAACCCATCAGAGATAGCAGGAGCATTTGCAGATTATTATGAAAAGCTATATGATGACTCAGACTCTAAGTTTACAGAATCCAAAACACAACAATTTCTTCATAGATTACATTTACCATCATTAACAAAGGAGGAGGCATCTAAAATGATACAGCCAATTTCATTGCAGGAAATATCTGACACTATAAAAACTTTGAAAAATAACAAATCCCCTGGTACAGACGGGTTTCCAGGCGAATTTTATAAATGTAAATATAAAAGAAGAGATACTACACCAATATTATTAAAGTTTTTAATTATGCTCTATCTTCACCGAAAACTTGGTCTGAAGCCATTATATCTGTCCTACATAAGGAGGGCAAAGATCCGACTTCATGTGAGGGATATAAGCCAATTAGGCCAATAATAGGCCAAACATTAAATCTCATATCATGTACTAAAAACAATCCTCAGCCAACCATGTTACTAAGCTTAGATGCACAAAAAGCTTTTGATCGGGTCAAGTGGAGCTTTTTATACAACACACTGGATGCTTTTGGGTTTCAATCGACCTTCATAGATTGGATACAAATTGTGTACAGCTGTCCAAAATCACGTTTTAGAGTAAATGGTTGTTGCTCAGATTTTTTTAACCTTAAAAGAGGAGTTAGGCAAGGAGATTGTTTAAGTCCGTTACTATTTGCCGCAAGTATCGAACCGTTGGCCGAATTAATAAGACAAAATAAAAACATAAAAGGAATAAGAGACAAGGGGGGGGGGGAGAACACAACATTTCATTATTCACGGACGATATATTAACATATATAAGTGAGCCTTCCTCATCTATTCCAGCTTTGTTGAACAATCTTAATGAATACGGGGAGATATCAGGTTATTTGACCAATGAAGCAACATCTGTAGCTATGATGATCTCAGGTGACCGTCCAGCAGGGTTGGAGGGTCAGGTTACATTTAAATGGGCCACAAAAGGATTCAAATGTTTGGGTATTAATATTACTCCGGTCACATCTCAGCTATTTGAGGCGAACAATGGGAAACAGAAAAATGAGATAGATAATAGAAATTGATAACATTAAGAAACTGTATGTATTTTTGGTGCCGAAGGAGGGCATGAATGATTAATCCTGGCGTACAACAGCCGCAGTTATGTAAGCATCTCCATGTATGTTCTATTGATGTTATGTATGAAAAAAAAAAAAAGTTCAAACAAAAATAACTTGTGCACAATATGTAGATGGTTACGAGCTTTATTATACATTAACTCAAATGTCTATATCAGGGCACTATCATTAGAAATATTACTATTTACAGCAGCACTTATAATTGGTTAATATCATAATTACTTGTTCCATTGATGCATTGTAAGGGTTCAAAAGTGAATGAAACAATATGTGAAATTTAGTACGCAAAATTAACATTGTCAAAATGTAAATGTATTTAAGCCTCCAATAATTTAACAACACATTTTATTAGAAAGAAGAAAATATTCATGAAATACATCAAAAATGTATCCCCAATTAATTATGAAGTTTAATCCATATATTGTGACAGGAAAAGTAAAGTACTGTGACAATAGTTAAGAACAACACGTTTTATCAATAATTACAAGACATGATAAATGAATATTTTGTTCCAATTATCACTTATTTCAATGATACATAGATATTGTCAATTTTCATATGTAGCATAATCTTTGAGAATTAGGTTTCAAGTTCAGAAACAAATGTTTTGTAAATGTAGAAACATATTTATAAGCATTCACTTGAAATGCTCACTTGCTCTTGTTAAGACAAATTGAGCCTTTCCACGGACAGCACAGATTTTTCACGAGGACTGGTCTGATGGTTTGATCCCTGAGTCCATAAATGAGAGCACTCAGACACCTGGGAAGGATACTCAAAAAAACATAGCATACATTGTAAATCCGAAAAAGGGTTGATCTATCCTCAGTTCTAGCTATGGCTATAATGATGGTGGAGAACATGGAGGCAGTGAGGATGAGGCTTAGCTGAATCAGGTGAAGCAGAAGAGTTTGAAGAGCCTTTCTGGCCGACACTTTATCTGTTGAGGCTGACCTAGCTGTGTGAGCAACACCAATGTAGGAGCCAATGATTGCTAAACCCACCGACAGAAAGAGAGTGCTTGCATGTGCCTCCTCAAAATCATTAAAGATTGGTGCAAAAAAAAACGTTTCTTTACTGCATAATTCATTCATGTGCAGATTCAGGGAGATTTTTGTAAAGACATATACCAGCATAAAAACTCGAATGAGGATGTGGATTACAGCAGAGGCCCACACCACAGCAATGGCTATGCCTGTACTTCTCACGGTGAAAATAGAAGCATGCCTCAGAGGATGGCATACAGCTGTTGTGTTCTGATATACTCCTGCCAATAGGGGGCGCCGTGTAACCAGAGTAACCTACAATGTGGAGAGAATAAGTGTATGCCCGGGATTTGATGCTGTGGCGGAAAGGAAAGAAGCATGAACAACAGTAAAGAGCTTAGTACCCGTATCCTCTGTCCCTTGCTTCATTAATGTCTTTTTACTAATACACAACGAGGATGGCCATGGCTTCTACTCCTTTACCTCCCACCTTTCTTCAGTGTCCGGGAGAACCTACTATGCCATTTGGAACATGGCTAAAAATGTTCGAAAACTACCTGCTAGTGATCGACGTGGAAGGAGCCAAGTGGCCGGATACCCGTATACGTGCTACGCTGCTACACAGTCGGAACCGAAGCACAGAGGATTTTCTACACATTGACTGAAACGGGAACTACATACAACCATGCCGTGACTGCACTACGGGCGCATTTCGTGCCGAATGTAAACGTAATTGCGGAGAGACACAAGTTCCGCCAACGAGCCCAGAGACATGATGAAACAATTGCACAGTACGTCTCTGCGCTACGTGAAATTATCATTTTGTGTGAATTTGGAAATGCAGAACAGGATATGCTGCGTGATCAGATTGTGGAAAAAGCCTACAGTGGACGCATACGTGAACGCTTTCTGCTAGAAGACAAACTGACACTGGATAAAGCCATTCAGATTGCAAATCAGGTGGAAACGGCGGTGCGCAACGTGGCCGAGTTCTCCAACAGTGAAGTGCCTGTGAGAGAGATCAGGGCGCCAACATGGGAACAAACATTTCCCGCTGCAAGTAAACAAAGGAAAGGTGAGAGAAAGTCTGAGCAAGCACGAAGATGTTACAGATGTGATTCAGATAAACATATGGCCAACTCCACACAATGCCCTGCTACAAACAAAATATGCAAATCCTGTGGAAAAACTGGGCATTTTGCCAAAGTGTGTCGTTCAGAACAAAAACGTGAAGTGAGGGAGGTCGTTATTCCAGAACTGACTGTTTTATTGCTGAATAATACTGCCCCAAAAGAGAAGAAAATAATGTGCACTGTAGATTTGGGACTTTCTCCTGCTAACCAGTCATTTGAGATGATAGTAGATACTGGTTCTTCAGTGTCACTGCTGCCTGCTCATGTGTACGAGACCTACTTCAGTCACATTCCACTGAAACCTACAAAGGTTCCTTTAGTCACATACTCAAGACAGAGAATCCCAGTACTAGGGAAACTGCATTTACGTGCATTCCATGATGGAAATACTGCCTCAGCTCAGCTGCCCTTTTCATTGTGAAGTCAGGTTCCATACTGCTGGGCCTGGACCTGTTTGAGGCACTGGAAATGGTCATCATGAGAAACAGAGTGGTACTGAAGTCAGAGCAGACAGTCAGAGAGATAACAACCCCACCTGCAACTCCTACTACACCGACACCTACTTCATCTGCACCTGTTAATACAGCTGTACCTATGGGCTGAGTTAGGAACGTTGTACACAAAGTCAAAGTGAAAGATGATGTGAAGCCTGTGCAGCAGAAATTGAGAAGGCTTCCGTTCTCAGTCAGAGATGCTGTTTCTGCAGAGTTAAAGCTTCTTCTTAATGCTGACATCATTGAAAAAGCAGATTGCCTTTCCCGCCTGCCACTGCCACACGGACAGGACTGCACCTCAGACCAGAGTCCTGCATCGGGTCGGGTACCCGCGGGTGACCCGCAAAAAAGGTGATTCGCGGGTGGTATTTTTTCAAACGCTTTTTTCCGGCTTCAGTTCTGGGTAAAACAAAGATGATGCGGGTCGGGTCGTGGGTGTTGCACTCGACATCGTGGGCCCATTTGAGACTGGTCCGGTGGACTGTAAGTTTGCTATTACTATGACTGACTACTATTCAAAATGGCCAGAAGTGTGTTTTGCCCCAAGATGCACTCAGTGTTCAGCCAAAAAGGGAACCCCGTCTCTGTGGTGACAGATAACGGTCCACAATTCACATCCTCAGAACTCGCCTTTTTCCTAGAAGAAAGAGACATCCAACACATCAGGACTACAATCTACCATCCAGAAGGAAATGGAGCTGTGGAGAGGCTAAATAGAGTGCTGAAGGAAAGCATTCTCACTGCACAGAGAGAGAACGCTCCGTGGAAAGCTCACGTTGCTGAGTTTCTTCAGGTCTACAGAGCTACACCTCACGCCACTACAGGGACATCTCCTTTCCAGCTCATGTATGGAAGAAAAATGCGAACCAAACTCTCAATCCTGCCACAGTTTACTGATACTCAGGATCAGGAACTGAGAGACAGACTGGAAAAGAAACAGTGGCTCATGAAAACATACACTGATGCCAAAAGAAATGCCAAGATTCCCAAAATACATCCGGGAAGCCTGGTGCGTGTGAGAAACCCGCTGCATGTCAAAAAGGGAAAGCCAAAGTTCAGTGAGCCTCTGAAAGTGACCCAGCAGAAAGGACCTCACAGTTACACGCTTGATAATGGAAAAACCTGGGATGCTTCACACCTGTCGGTGCTTCCAGAAACATTCACTCCTCCATCAGAAGAAGTGAGGCCTGCTGAGCCAGCTATAGTGCATGGTGCTCAGAGCAGGAACCAGCAAATCAGAAAGCAGCCTGCTTGGATTGAGGACTATGTCACTTAAACTGTGGTTGAATTAATGTTTGAAAATGTTCTGCATATGTGAAGTTGTTATTATTATTATTACAGATGGTTACTACAGAAGTGTCTGTTTAAAATGCTAATGTTATGTGTACTGTTCAAGTGGAGAAGTAACTATTTTAAGAAGGGGGGAAATGTTGTGTTCTGATATACTCCTGCCAATAGGGGGCGCCGTGTAACCAGAGTAACCTACAATGTGGAGAGAATAAGTGTATGCCCGGGAGTTGATGCTGTGGCGGAAAGGAAAGAAGCATGAACAACAGTAAAGAGCTTAGTACCCGTATCCTCTGTCCCTTGCTTCATTAATGTCTTTTTACTAATACACAACAACAGCCACGTATCTCTCGATAGACATCACAGCCAGGGTGAGAGGGGAGATTGATTGCGTGAAAACAGAGACCAGAACTAGGAAACCACAGGCATAATAGGTACTTTTTATCTTAAAAGAAGATAGCAAGAACAGCAGAAGACTTGATATCAGGTGAACAGTGTCTGCAATAAGTAGGTTATACAGCAGAATATATCGGGATGTCTCACAAAACACTGGCTTACTCCTGAGGGTGTACAGCAAAACACAATTTATGTAAAGAAAAGAGCAGGTTGACCCAAGAATTAACAAGGCAAACAATATTATCTCATAAGCTTCTCGTTGCGGCACACTAGCAGTGATGTTGGCCTTAGGCTGCAGCCAAGACAACATTATGCTCCTCTGGCTTTCAGTAGTTGTTCAAGTAAACTACAAAACATACAAAGTACAATTCATCAAAAAACATAACCGCACGTTATCCTTCAATTTTGGGCAGTCAATGCAGAAGGTTAGAGGCAGAGGTGATCTGGGGCAGAGTTTTCCTGCTATGTACGGCATCTATATATATTTGTCCTCAAGCAACTTTCACAGGACATTACGTCAGACTGATCATCAAATTAGAGATGAGTGATGTAATCTTTCTACCCATGATGACTTAACACTTACTCAAATGTTACAGTATTTTCAATGCTACCATTGTCTGAATAAATGTATCTATATCTGTGTTTCTTGAGGTTCCTGCAGATTCCTTACTAACTCCATATGTAAATGACACTTACATTCCAAACTGGGCTTTAAAAGCTACGACAGCTCGCCAAAAATAACACCTCCTTGTGAAAAGTCTCCCAAGCATCGCCTATACCTGCGGTAAGCCTAGCTATTAGGAGCTTTCACACCGGAGTACTTTTTCCAGTATAGTTCCGATAGTTCTTGAAATGTTGTGTTCACACCAAAAAAATCCGGAACTAGAACTAACTTGCCTAATCCTCCCTCAGGGACTTATTCTGGTGTGAACGCGATCTGCTCTTTAGTTCATCAGAACTAACTAAAGAGTTCTGATGAACTAAGTACGGCAAAGTACTTGGTGTGAAAGCGCCTATTGATATCGCCTCGGTTATAGCTGAAAAACGTTACTTATGGGCATAGGTTTGCCTCATAATTATTTGTGTGAACATAAAAATAATTTGTGTGTAAATATGTGATTTGTAAATGTAAAACACCATCCACAAATGCATTTAAAAGATTTGCAAACTCACAAATACATTTGCAAATGTAAAACGGATCTGCAAATACGCTAAATATTTTCACAAATAAAAAAAAGATCTGTGAATATCTCTTTAACATTTACAACTTTCGATCAGGCATTTGTGAATCCATTTTGTATTTGTCGACCAAAAATGCATTTGTGGATCTCAAATCTGCTCGTGGATCTTCTTTTTACACACACAGAGTTTTGAGACAAACTTTCCGACGGTCTCGGCTAAAATCTGCTCGTATCACTCGGTTATTTTCGGAAACCACCTGATGGCCTGCTGATGACGACATTTCCGCATGATTTCAAAGTAAAAGCATGATGGTTTGTTTAATGCACTGTGTTGTATTATAATGAACAGCGGAACGTTAGATGCATTCTTTATCATCATCATGTTATAGTGATACAGTTAGTTTGTGTTAGTTTATTTGTTCAATACAGCATATATCGAGCACTTTCGTATGCATTGATGTTAAAGTAGGCTACGCCACTTTCGGGTCCCGGGGGAGCAGCTGGCAGTGAAGCAGCCCAGAGATATCTCTTTCTTCATTGTTTTTTGTGTATTCAGTCAAGCAGGTCAAAGTTACAAAGCACTTCACATCTTATTAATCGGCCTAGTTTTACCTTACCAGTGCAGTGGTAAAGTAATCTGTAGAAAAGCACCGTATTTAGGTCAGCCTTCATAGCCTTCGTACATTAAATGTTATAATATTCATCGTGTCCTTTCTACTGTATATGCATATAAGTGCTGGGGGGAAACGATTATTTTGAAAACGATTAATCGGGCGATTATTTGATCGATTAGTCGACTAATCGAACGATTATTTTTCTGTTGTTCAATTCATAAAAAACGTAATGTAAAAAAAACGTAATGTAAAAAAAAAATTTGTCACGATACTGTGTCTCAGGGGATCTTAATATTTAAGAACCTATTAATGTGTTATACCAGATTAACGGAAATAATCTCAGCTAACTGACGATACAAACCATGTTTACCAAAACAAAACACAAGTCTCATAAGAAGCATCTAAATGACCCCTGAGCGAAAAATGCTAACGGACATTGGCACAGATCTCAAGATAAAAGTACCCTTATTACTTATTGTAGCTGCACATACAATATATCCGATTAAAGCTGAGACTCCACAGATTATGTAGGTACATAGTATCATCACTGAGTGATCCGGACTCACGACAGGGGAAGCAAATACAGTCATCACAACACGTACCTTCACAGAGCTTCTAGGGAGATCGTCTCACCGCCGTAGCTGTCAATCTGATCAAAATACGTGTTCAATGGCATTCAAATGAGAAAAACCGCGGCTGAATCTGTTAATCCATAGGTTTTTAACGTCTATGTATAAAAAAATTATTGAATTTATAATCCATAATTCCATTTTAAATCGGAGAGCAAATGCTAGCTGCTAATGGTTGCCACCACAGCTAGCTGCTGCTTCCGGTCAAGCAGCAGTCTCAGTGAGATATAAATATATAAATATCTTTGCGTTTTGGACTAACTTTAAAATATTCCCATGCTTTTGAAGACCTGGGGCGAGATGTTTTCGTTTGAGGGCTTCGTGCGCAATCCTGTGAGGAGGAGTTGGTAGCCGTTTCAGTCTCCATTGTGTTAGAAGTGCGATTGCGAACTGCTTGTTGCTTTGGGTGACCCACGTGTGTGTGGCGTCATACAGTCTATGGTGGCGACGCGTCGACGCGGAAATATGTCGTCGACGATATTTTGAAGTGTCGACGCGTCGCTACAGCACTAATGCATATATTCCTGTCTATTGCTTTTATTTGTATTCAGTATATACATATATACTCCAAGGGCTAAGGAGTACAGCACTTTGTTTTCTCCATACCAGTCCTCTTCTATTTTCCCATCACTGTGGTTTTTTATAGCATTAGCAAGATTAGGTCCAACGTCTACAAAAAAAGCATTGAAGTGATTTGCGACATCCATCATACTGTATTTGTCAAAACTTCATTATTACCATTATTAAAATGTTTCAGTAGGACTGCAGACATAGGTTTGTTACGAATAATTTCATAAAGGATTTTCCAAGTGTTCCTAATATTATATATTATCAATTAACTTTTTGTTATAATACTCTTTTTGGGCTTGTCTCATTATAGTGGTAAGTTTATTTTTATATAGCTTGTATTTCCTTTCAGCAGTAGTTCTGAATTGTATGACATCTCTATAAAGATTATTTTTCTTTTTACAAGAATTCTGTAAGCCCTTATTTATCCAGGGCTTTTTATCAAAATGATGTCCAATATTAGAACATTTGATTGGACAGTGCATATCATAAAGTGATAAGTAGGTGACCATGAATGATTCATGAGCAGCATTTACCTCTTCAACATAAACCCCCTGCCACTCTTCTTCTAGGAGGTCATTCCTAAACTGGTCTATTGCTTCATTACTTCTGACTCTGAAATACACTCAACAAAAATATAAATGCAACACTTTTGTTTTTGCTCCCATTTTTCATGAGATGAACTCAAAGATCTAAAACATTTTCTATATACACAAAATAACCATTTATCTCAAATATTGTTCACAAATCTGAAAAAATCTGTGATAGTGAGCACTTCTCCTTTGCCGAGATAATCCATCCCACCTCACAGGTGTGGCATATCAAGATGCTGATTAGACAGCATGATTATTGCACAGGTGTGCCTTAGGCTGGCCACAATAAAAGGCCACTCTGAAATGTTCAGTTTTATCACACAGCACAATGCCACTTGTGTCGCAAGTTTTGAGGGAGCGTGCAATTGGCATGCTGACAGCAGGAATGTCCACCAGAGCTGTTGCCCGTGAATTGAATGTTAATTTCTCTACCATAAGCCGTCTCCAAAGGCGTTTCAGAGAATTTGGCAGTACATCCAACCGGCCTCACAACCGCAGACCACGTGTAACCACACCAGCCCAGGACCTCCACATCCAGCATGTTCACCTCCAAGATCGTCTGAGACCAGCCACTCGGACAGCTGCTGCAACAATCGGTTTGCATAACCAAAGAATTTCTGCACAAACTGTCAGAAACCGTCTCAGGGAAGCTCATCGTCTCATGCTCGTCGTCCTCATCGGGGTCTCGACCTGACTCCGGTTCGTCGTCGTAACCGACTTGAGTGGGCAAATGCTCACATTCCATGGCGTCTGGCACGTTGGAGAGGTGTTCTCTTCACGGATGAATCCCGGTTTTCACTGTTCAGGGCAGATGGAAGACAGAGTGTGTGGCGGTTTTCTGATGTCAATGTTGTGAATCCAGTGGCCCATGGTAGTGGTGGGGTTATGGTATGGGCAGGCATATGTTATGGACGACGAACACAGGTGCATTTTATTGATGGCATTGTGAATGCACAGAGATACCGTGACGAGATCCTGAGGCCCATTGTTGTGCCATTCATCCACGACCATCACCTCATGTTGCAGCATGATAATGCACGGCCCCATGTTGCAAGGATCTGTACACAATTCCTGGAGGCTGAAAACATCCCAGTTCTTGCATGGCCAGCATACTCACCGGACATGTCACCCATTGAGCGTGTTTGTGATGCTCTGGATTGGCGTATACGACAGCGTGTTCCAGTTCCTGCCAATATCCAGCAACTTGGCACAGCCATTGAAGAGGAGTGGACCAACATTCCACAGGCCACAATCAACAACCTGATCAACTCTATGCGAAGGAGATGTGTTGCACTGCGTGAGGCAAATGGTGGTCACACCAGATACTGACTGGTTTTCGGACCCCCCCAGACCCCCCCAATAAAGCAAAACTGCACGTTTCAGAGTGGCCTTTTATTGTTGCCATTCTAAGGCACACCTTTGCAATAATCATATATATACATATATTACTCTCTGGTGACCCGTCCCGCCGCAAAACTCCCCGCGAGGGGAAGCTCTGCCCATGGGGGGTCGACACAGAAAGGGCCGACTCTCTACCGAGGTCCTTGAACGCACCGCCATGATGCATTCCAAACAGTGACATTTATCAAGCCGAGTTTTTACACTCTGCGTTATGTGTTTCCTAACCCTGCTACGCCGGCCTTAATGCCCCTGCACCCGCATAGCGCAGTTTATCACTCTCACGTGCGCACTAGCTGCCTCCTTTACTGGAGTTACAACCTGGGCAGCGAGTGGGGAATCTGTACGGTCAACATTATGTGGCAGTGTGGGTGTATGGAAAGAAAAGACACTCAGATTGGGATACAAGCAATCTCCTTTATTTTGTACAAAAGAGGATTGTGTCAGCACAGTGGGGTCAAATAGGGAGGAGGCGGGATTCGCCCTTGCATCCTGGCTCTCTCTCCGCTTCCTCCTGCCGCCAGTCAGCTCCTGGAGGACGGTGCACCCCACCCAGCACCCCTTCGCTGAGGCGGAGCCGGAGTGGGAGCCCGCCGGGTTCGGCCAGCCTGTCCCCGTGAGTGCTGGTACTAGGCCGGTACTTCGGGACGGACCGCGGAGGCAGAGGGCGCAACGGGAGCCACAGCTCTCTCTCTCTCCACCTTGCCACCACCGGGCGCTCTCTCCGTTGGGGAGGTGACGCCACGGCGGCCAGGGACATCACACTGCGGTAGCCATACCGTGGACCAGATTATTGATCTGGCCCACGCAGCAGTCCGAGTAATCACTACCATCCTCAGGCGGGGGGGGGGGGGGGCGGGGATGTCCTGCTGAGGGGTAATCACTCCCAACACACATTACTGGCCGCCGCCGCTATCTGCGCTCCGAGCCTGAACATCTTATCCAGATGCTCAAGCATTTCCCGGTCACGCGGCAGCGGGGGCAGGGGCCTTCTCCCCTCTGCCCACCCGGCTGCCTGCGGAAGCAGATGGGCCGCCAGGCTTTCATCCAGGGGGGGGCACACCGGGACACTCCGTGTCCGAGTGGCCCTGCACCCTGAGGAGTCCAGCCCATGTCGCCACCGGAGCCGGACGGGCTGGACCGTAGAAGCCCTGACGTAGGCGACTCACCGGCCTCGGTGGCAGGAGCGGTAAGCCTACACGCTCCGCCGCCATAGTCATCACCGCCTTCCTGTCGGTCGCCAGAAACATCAGACGACGAGGTGTCGTCGTCCCTCTCCCCGACGAGCAGGCCCGCCCGGTCCGCTGGCATGGCGAACACGAAGGGCACCTCCTCGTGGTCCTCCATCTCCACCACGTCGAGCTCTGGGTCTTCCACCAGCGAGACGTAACAGTCCCCGAACTGCACCAGCCGCTTTTGAGCCGAGGGATTAGCCGGCAGGCGCTGCAGGCCGTAAGCGGGCCCAGGTTGGTCGCCGTGTGGCCGTTGCTCCAGCAAAGGTCAATTTTCTTCGATGTTTTATCCGTCTCTCTTCACTCAGTGTGTCTCTCTTGCTTTCTGAAGAGAAAGGGATGACAGTCAGGAGGCGAGGCCTCCTTTTATGCGGTGAGATGCGCGCACATTCAGATAGGCCTGCCCCGGGGCCGGCTACGTCTATAGAAGTCTCAGTGGATGAATGCTTGCATGATATGATCAAGGGGAGTACCCATAGAGTCCAGTAGAGGGCGGAGCGTGTGAGAGATATAACAACAGCCGTTATTTCTCTTGAGTGTTTTCCCTGGGAAACAAACAATACACAGAAACGCAAAATTACACAAACACACACACACGTATACACACTAACACACACTCGTGAGCTTCCCCCAGACCAGTAATCCAAACGAAAATATCTTCCCTCCGTAGTATTTTGATCATTTGCTCCGCTAATCAATCAGATCGATGGATTCCAGAGAGGAGGAAACTTTAAGGCTTTTTTCTCAAAATGATGTCTCTGTGACAGTCATTATATAGTGTGACATATTTTGCTTAATATTTGGAGTAGAACAACAATCCTGATATCATTAGAAAGCTAGGAATCTCCTCTTTCCAACAATGTATACAACTCAAAATGTTTCTTCGGGTCAATGCGACTGATTTTGATGGAGCAGGTCACATATATTATGGGTCTCAGATATATAAAAATTAGGGCTGTCAAAGTTAACGCGTTAACGCATGTGATTAATCTCGAGACTTTAACGCGCACTATTTTTTTTAAGTCAAATTAATCATAGTATCCAGTTTAGATGGTACCTCCCTCAGTATTTCCAGCACGCATGTTCACCTGGGAATTAACTAAGAGGCAGGCACGTTAAACTAACAGGATGACTGAGGAGTAGGGTTGGGTACCGAAATCCGAAATTTCGATTTCATCGATATCGTTTAGAAATGTTAGTTTCGGTTCTGCTTATCGATTCCTAAGGAAATGCATCTCGCCGCTTTCTGTACCGTCAGACGGGACGGGCGGGACGTGTAGCACAGTGGCAAGGTTGGGAAGCAAAACTTGGTTCCGTGTAAGAACAAATTGCAATTGTCCGGCCCACCCCCCCAAAACCGGTTCCTTCTCCTCCCCCCATCCCTCCTCTGTAGTCTTTCCAGTAGGAGAATAAAGGTCAGCGTTCTCCTTCGGTTTACAGGCACTGTGTGTAAATTATATAGAATAATTATGATGATGAATGCATTTTTTTTACCACTAAAATACAGCAACCCATCTTTGATTCATGTTGTTTTTAACTGGACTATTACAATTATTATTAATTATGTCTGTAGTCTACAACACAGCAAAATAGGAAATAACAACAATAAACACGATTTAAACAGACACAATAATAAACCATTTAACTACGTAGCCTACTTACTTTCTTGTAGAAGTACAAATGTCCAGGAAATATGCGCAAATCAACAAGAACTGCGAGCCGGCATGCACGACGCTCCGCTTCCGTAATGCTTCTGAAACGCTCGTGAAACGCGCCCGGTAGGGTATGACGCCGGAGGAGGCCGGACCAAAACGCGCCACAGACGGACCCAGTGGAAACTAGGGGTCAGCTTCCCTGTCTGTGTCCTCGCGCTGTCCTCACATCCCGGACTGTGAGACAGACTCGGAGGAGTGAAGTCAGTATTGATTATGAAGCAGGACATATATATATATATATATATATATATATATATATATATATATATATATATGTATTAAGCGCTTTGAGCACCAGGAAAAGCGCTATATAAATGTATTTATATATGTCTTGCAGGACATGTGTTCAACACAGACTCTATGGTTGGACTCTGTCTCACAGGCAGGTTGCAGTGAAACATCAGAGGAGACTGGGCCAATAGTACATTCTCAAACTGCACCACTTAGAACTAACTAAACAATGCAGAGATTATTTTTATATAATTTATTATCGATGTTTTGGGCAATACTAATACTAATACTACCTTTTTGCTCAGAAAAACTAAAGTGAAAAGTAACAAATAAAATAATATAAATCTTGATCTCTAACTGCTTTTAGCATTTTATTCTTTCATACCTGCATTAATCACGGAATTGTATTGAGATTAATCCGATAAAATATGTTTGATCTATTGACAGCACTAATACAAATATATAAAAAACATGTCTATGATGTGTTCTGCTCAAAATACCAAACAGATTGCATTTTAGACATCCCTCATATCCCTCTATTTCAGTCCTGTTAGAGAAGTGCTGATTCTGGGTCAGCAGCTGCTTGCCCCGCCCCCTTTTGAGCACGGCAAACATGCAGTGAGGTCTCCTCTCTGTCTGCAGATACTCAGCTAAACACTGCCGTGATTAAACGCCAAGGATTATTTCAGAAACAGTATGGAGCTCAAATACTTTTTCTCTTGCGGGTTTACTACAAGATGAGTTCCTTTTTTTATTTTCTGCTTTTTTACACATACTCTCTCCAGTACAGGTTAGCTCTGAGTGGTACTTGCTAATGTAAACAAAGACCATATTACTTCCAAACACGTTGTGCATTGTTTCTGAAAGCGACGTGGGTCTAAAGTCAGCCCACATTTCCCATATTACGTCATATCGGCAGCAAATCTGGATCAGCTCCGTTGTACCCCCGTTTTTAGAGATTTGGGTATTTTTGAGGATAAAGAGAGAGGGTTTTATTTTCTGACACTTTGTGAGTTCCCTGACACCCCGGGGACACATATTTATGTATAAAATACATCAAAAAGTGCATTTTGCATGATAGGAGACCTTTAAAATATCCCTAAATGGTTAATAATGAATAAAAAATCCACAAATGTATAATCATGTTTTCTTTAAGAATGTCTTATTCAGTCATTGGTTTGACAACGTTAATGTTCTCAAGAAAAAAGAGAAAAATAACAATGAAAATCAGAAGTGAAGTTGAAACATAATAGTTTGGCCACATGGTGGCAACATTTGATTGGATTCAGTTGTCATCATCTCCATCATCAAAGACATCAGCTACAGTTCTGTGGATGGACGGACAAACAGAGGTTACATACTGTAGTTCATAACTCTTTGAGCTGGTTCCCATTGCATGTAAGTCTGACTTACTTGTAGATGGATCCAGTCACTTCATCAAGAAAACCTCCTTCAGAAAAAAAGACAGAGTAAGTGTGAGCCGAGATCTGTAGTACAAAGGGAGTTCAACTTACCCAGGATATCTTTGAGTTATCTGGCTCTACTAACCCAAACAAACTCGATCTCACCAAGCTGTGTTACGACGCTGGGTACCCACTCAAAGTCTAACCAATATTTTGATCAGAGTTTCAAAGCTAGAGTGAATAAGTGAGTTTTGAGAGATTCTTTTGAAGGATACAAGAGTGTTGGCCTTTCAGATGTGACTGGGAAGGGAGTTCCAGAGTGAGGGGGTGGTGGCTGCAGCGAAGGCTCTGTCGCCCCAGGTCCGGAGCTTTGTCCTCATGGTCTGTAGTAGGTTAGCTTCAGCAGACCTGAGGCGACTGGTAGGGGTTTATGGTTGGATGAGGTTACTGAGGTAGGGGGGGGGGGGCAAGGTTGTTGAGGGCTTTGTAGGTGAGAAGTAATATTTTGAAGTCAATCCGGTGTTTGAAGGGGAGCCAGTGGAGGTTGTGGAGGATGGTGTCCACTGTATTTGGACAAGTGTTCTGACAGCAGTGTCATGTTTCACAAATTAGGAGTCAACTATAATCTTAAAACAATACAAAGAAGTCAAACATATAATCAAGTTTAAACACAAATAATTTGCAGCTGCCAAGTGCAGGAAAAACAGCTGGTTTACTGTATAATACTGTATCACTGCCCTATCTAAGGGAAGAGCAGATTTGACTTTACTAACATTTGTATATTTCATTTAGAAATGGGTTGCTTGGATGCATTCTTAAGGAATAAAATACAAAATATTGGCTATTTTATTCATACCAAAATCCAATAAAATACATTTCACCGCGTTAAGTAGGCTTACTTTAATATTTTAAAAGGCAGTGGTGGTTATGGAAGCATTTTCTTCTGTCCATCACCTATGGCTTGGAAGTGCATGCTTTTTGTAAAATGTTTATCACATCTTAAAATCACAAAAACAGCAGGTATAAAGGAAGGCGGGTATGAATATCCAAAGTTGATAACCAGCGCCATAGGAACGCTCAGCGAGATCAAGTTTGTTCGGGTAGGTTAAGCCAGATATCTTAGGTATCAGGCCTGACAGTCATGAACAAACCACACACCTCGACCTGCCCACTATGCTGTGCTACTACAAATCGCCTGCTACTCCCTTACAATTGAAGGGTCCGGCTACCACTCAATTGAAATCACTATTTGCTGCCCTTTCAAGTTGTAAGATGAAAGATTGAAAGTACATTACAGAAACGGTTTAAATGGGCAAAGGACTCTCTAGTTTGATACTGTAACCTTTTTTTGTGTCAGCTCGGCATTTACTCACCAGGCTTGCAAAGTGTTTGGCAAACAGGACACCCATGGCAGAAATTGCACATCTGTGAAAAAGAAAGAAATTGAATCGTAAAAACAAGAAAGGAAAGACATTTATTTTTTAAATTGTATCTCAAGAAGCCTGATCCACTTGTCTAACCCCAGATATGTCTATTCCGAGGCTGCTTCCTGCCTTCCTGCACAATGTGAGAATGACACTTCATACACATACAAAACATGTGCATATCTTTGCACATGTTAGATGTTAGAAAAGCCTATTTCGATCAGAAATAAAATGGTTGCTCCAGCAGGAGGGTTCAACATGAACATGTATATGTCAAATAATCTTATGTGACATCTGACTTCAGGTCATGCTTATTTTCTCACCTTGCAGTCATCACAGTGTTCAGACTTGTCTCCCTCTTCACAAGGACATTTGTCACAGTTGTCGCAATGCTGGAAGAGACATATTTACTGTTAGAGACAAACCTAGAGAGGGCAGGGTAGAAAAGGAAAACACTAAACAGAAACTACACAATGGACAGGTGTACAGGGCAAGATTGCATACATGTGTACTACTTCCATTTCGAAAAGTAATTAAACGAATCTCAGCTTTGTGACTACATTTAATTTCCCTGATTTAATTCAGACATACCTCACAGAATTCACAATATGAGCACAGAGAGCCCTTGTGATAAGCACCCTCCTCATCGTCGTCGTCATCGTCGTCGTCATCGTCGTCGTCATCGTCATCATCATCATCATCGTCGTCATCATCGTCTTCATCGTCATCTGCACATTATGTAGATAGAAATAGAATATAGAAAAAATGGCTTAATGTTCAAAAATCTTTATCATGACAACAATCTTGACTATTAGGTCTACGTAGAAAAAGAGTTGCGATTACTCTGAGGTGTATGCATACCACCTTCATTTTTCACCTTCAACCCTTTTTTACTGAACAGCTGGATAGGAGGCAAGAAAATAACCCATTTCCATGCAATAAGCAACATGTTTTTCCAAATAGAGTTGTAAGCCAAGGGAGATGTATGCCTCATCATACTCTTTTGATTTGGGCATTATAGCTGAAAGGCTTGTCGTGGGCTCGTCCACTTTTCTTTTAACTGCCAGCTGTGTTAAAACGGCTCTGTTAAAACGTGTCTATTTATATTTTATACAACTTCTTGCCAAGTTTCACGCACCCCCCCTCTGCGCCCCCCCAGGGCCTTAAACCAAGGATTATATTCAATCCCTTCATCCCTCCCTTCCCTCATTCCTTCATCCCCACATCCCTCCCTTCCCTCATTCCTTCATCCCCACATCCCTCCCTTCCCTCATTCCTTCATCCCCACATCCCTCCTGCCCGACATTCCCTTATCCCAACATCATCTCTACCTATCTTCATTCATATTCAACTTGTGCATATTTTAAATGTCTCATTCAAGGAACCATCTGGGGGCCTGTAATCGGCCAGAGCAGAATCATGCCGGAGACGGACCCCCACCCTGAGTCTCCCTCTGACCGGACCACAGCACGTCCTCCCAGGCCAGACCACCAGACATCATTCGTCATCAGCATTCCATATCAATTCATTGTTACTTCTTTAATTGAATCTACAAACTTCATACCGCTGTGGCGTTGTCCCTGCTAGTGAATATATAACTTTTGATATGAATAACATAAAGGTGGACCAACTGTCAAAAATACCCTTCAGTGCAAGAAAAGTTACCAACCGAGCAAAGTGGCAACTTTGATGGTGTGAATGCTGAGTCAGCATTTACAACCAATGTCCTTCTACTACAACAATTGTTTATTATTATTATTATTTCTTGGCCTTTGTTTTGATTTACAATTCCACTATTCAGCCTAAAAATTCCATTCAATCATTGAAATAAATAAAATCATTTTCCCAGATGTTTTAAATCTGTGTCAGAATCTTTCAGAGTCACAGACTGTTTCAGTCATATTACATTCTTGCAAAACTACTGTAATCTCTCGGCAAGTATTTATAAAACACAGTTCATAGAGGACATGCTGACGGTCAGAACAGATACTCACAGGTTTCAAATGTATGTAGCTCAGCATTCTGGTCCTCGTTCAGTTAATATTACCCAACAGATGTTTACGGGCCTAATGATACTCTCCGTGCATTGTTATAACTCTGTTGGTAACAGATTTGCAATCTAGTCATTTCATGATCATTTGATTTATTTAATGAATGAAAGGGTTAAAGATGTGGACAGTGGTGATTTTAATATTTTCCACACATTAATGTTCACAGTCATCCAAAAAACAAATCCAGACAAGAAGAAAAAAAAGCAGACAACCATTTCATCTCTTGACAATTTGAGGTTTCCTCTATACAAAGAGAAGTTTCTCTCTTTTCCCAAACACTCTCTCCCTGAGGGTCTGAAGAATCTCCAGCCGATCGACTGTTGTAACATTTCATAACAATTGAGAAGTTATAGATTAGCTAAGCTAAGTTCACATATGACTTAAAAAATGTATTAAGTAATATAAGTGCCAAATCAGCATTAAATAGTAAGGGGGAACTTGCATGAAACTCAAAACAAATCATTAATATAAGCTAATCACATGTGCATCAAAAGTTATTATTTTACTTAATCTTTCATAATGTTACTGTTAAAGAAAAAAAGAGGTATGATTATTACACTGTTCATACATGTAGATACAATGATAGGTATTCTATTATCTTAACTGTGTTTAGCAATTTTACAAGTGCACACACCAAACAAATTCTGTGCATAGCACGGCTTTTTCAACATACAGTGGCATAAATGCCCCACAGAGAAAGAAAGAGATTGAGAGATATGGAGAAAGAGAGAAACTTTATCTGTAGATATTCTATGCTTCAAATTAATATTTTAGGTAGTTGCCCTCCTGCACCTCCCCTCTCGCTTCATTATCCCTGTCTGTATCTCTAGAACCCCTATCCCCCAACCCACCCCAATATCACTGTCTCTCTTTCTTTCTCTGTAGGTTCACATAAAGACAAATGCAGGTCAATCTGATCGATAACAATTGAGAAAGGAAGATCCTAGTGTAGGAACAATTATTTCAAACGAAACACAAATCAAAATATCTCAGACTAGTGACCCCAAAGACTGATTTCCAAGCCAGGCTTGGTTTGTGTGAAATAGTTTTATTGTTCTTTCTCTCTCTCAAATCAATGCTTCTGCAGTCCCCAAGTTCATATTTAGTGTACTGTACGAAGGACTTCGGACAGTTGGACTTCAGATGGGCCAGTTCAATTTCCCCAGAGTGCTCATAACTCTAGTTAAGCAGGGAAAAGAACACAGTGTCAGAGACAGCAAGCAAAATAGACAGCTGGAAAGAGGTGGAGGAGGGATTTTGAATACCTATGAGCTCTGAGACATAAACAATTAGAACTGTGATAGAGATGATAAGGTTGTAAGAATGTTAGCGAGTGGGGGGAGTGGCTAATATTTTGTTAGCTCCTCCCCTTAAAATGTCCAGTAATGTACTGCAGACATCACCAACTGTATGTCAAAAGCATCCGCCATTTCTGACACACACTTTAAATAAAATATACGGTGTATTGCTTGCTACATCAGATGTGGCATATTGTATGTACTGTGTTTAGGCAAGTTGAATTGCAAATCACCGCCAGAACCAAAACAAACAGCACGGTCTCATTAAAGTTCAGTGAAAGCAGCTCTGACAGATTGCAGTCTGCAATGTGCTTCTAGTGCAGATATCTGAATATGTGCTAACACAGGAAGAGACACAGCGATAGGATAACATATGAACTACTAAATATTTAAAAAGACTGACCTTCATGATCATCGTCGTCATCATCATCGTCATCATCATCGTCATCATCATCATCGTCGTCGTCATCGTCATCGTCATCATCATCGTCGTCATCATCGTCGTCATCATCGTCATCATCATCATCGTCGTCGTCGTCGTCATCATCGTCGTCGTCATCATCATCATCGTCGTCATCATCATCATCATCGTCATCATCGTCGTCATCATCATCATCATCATCGTCGTCGTCATCATCATCATCATCGTCGTCGTCGTCATCATCATCGTCTTCATCGTCGTCATCGTCATCATCATCATCGTCATCATCATCATCGTCATCATCATCGTCATCGTCATCATCGTCAGCCACCAGACCTTGCTCAGAACGGAATGGCAGGTCCTGCGCCTTGGCAAAGGGAGCCAGCGGGGTGTGGAAGGAGCAGAGCAGTGCCAGCAGCACTGCAAGAATCAAACTTCTCAACGATGCCATGTTCACAGCCAAAACAGGGCCAACTAATGAGGAATCAACCTGCAATCACTGCAGGAGACCAGCACTGCAGCTCTTTGCCTATTTGTCCCAGCACACACAACCTTACAACCTCACTCAGCTGTCACACACTTGCTGATTGCTACAGTAAGAATTGGACACCAATTATAATGGATCCAGTAGACTCGGTCCAGTACAAAGAATATATTCCAAGGTGAGGCCAGACACTTGTTCCCAAGTCCTTGGGAAAATGATCCTTAGAAAAGCAGGTTTCCTCCCGTTCAATATGGGACCAAACCACAAAGTCTTTTAGTCCAGTGCAGCGCTTGTGTGAACAGTTTAGACTGCACTAAGAAGATGAGAGGGGAGCTGTCAGTAACTGGTCAACACAGGAGACAGAGACAGAACTAATGCGAGGGCGACAGAAAAAGAGTGAGACCAACCTATGGGGTAAGCTGAGAAGAAGGGGGGCAGTCCGGCTGACTGACAGGGGCAAATGCTAGTGGGCAGGCCTGCACTATCCATAAGTTAAGTTACTGAGAGAAGGGGGTGATTGGAGGGGTGTATAAGGAATGAGTGGAGCATACTTGCTTTTCCATCATCATCAAATGTTCAAGTTTAACTTTAGAACACATTTTCAACCTTAACTTTAAAGAGCACCACAGCAGAAGTAGGCCCAGGAAACAATGACCAAATATTGTAAAAGAAAGAGGAGGGTCAAGTTGGTATAGAGCTGGAAGGTTATTGGACAGAAATCACTTGTTACATCTTTTATCTTTTGAAACAGATGGCTGAACATTTTGCCCGACTAGCAGCAATGCCTAGGTACAATCTTGTTAGATCGTTTGGGTAATAATTTGAGATTTCTGTGACATATCCATAGATGGAGACATTCCCTTTAAAAAAGGTTATTCATTACTTCCTGCTAACACTTGCTATTTTGAGTGCATAAGGGCATTCACACTCACAAGTATGGCACAGTGCAATTGTTACTATCGTGTCTATGACACCAAAGGGTAGGGACTAGCAAGGGTTTATTAGCTAGGGTTTATTAGGTTAAATTAGTAGTCTGTAACAATTAAGCACTAAGAGCACTTCGATGCTTGCTAGCTTATTACAGTTCTTCAGTTATTCAGGGACTACTTGGCCCTGAAGTTAGCTAGCTAGCTAGTTAATAGTGGGAATCTTCATTTCCAATAAATGAAGAACAAATACTGTGTGCAATATAAGATACTACCCTATCATAATGTATGCACTACACAAGTACATGGTGTTCACAGTGTACTACATGGAGGAGCACTAGCGGAAGGAGAATTTGAATTAGGTTAGACGCTAACACCCCAGGTAAATAACATGGTTACAAAAAGACAACATTAAATGCTCGTCTTGAACAGGATTCTTACTCCAGTCACCGACATGAATATATGAGATGTCCCATCCACCACCCTGACCCCAACACTGGGATGTGCTTGAAAGAAAAGTTTGAATGTGTTATCCCAACATGCCTTAAGGCAAAGTATTTATAGCTGTTCCAAATGGCCACACTCAAAGACAGGACGAAAAGCTTATTGTAAGGGGAGGCTCAAAACCTAGTAATTGATCCAAGGAGATAATAGTCACTCCTTTAAGACATTCATGATGTTGCACTTAATTGTACATATGTAAAGTGACATAAGTAGTCCCTTTTTTGTCAGTTTGCCATTTTAGGAAACTTACACAAAATGTCATACACTGGACTTCCTCTTCCATCATCCTCCCTAAAGTCTTAATTTATATTGTTTGACTATATAAAAGTGTTCACAGAGTGCAGACTCCACTACTATCCTGCTCTTTTAGGTAAATTTATATATTTTATGTTAGCATTGAACTGCTGCTTTGCACAATTGTCAAATTGAATTGACTTCCTAAAGACACTAGCTTGAGATTTCTCAGGCTTTTATGAGTAGTTTTCTTATTCTGAGGTTTAATAAATATAGCAGCCAGCAGTTAGGCCTCAGTCTGTTTTTTTTTATCTGAGCTATAGTGCCATTCTCAAAAGCCTATTTTTTTAATAAATGATGTCTTACACCTCTAGTATCCCTATTAAGCTGATGCAGCCAGAGTGCATTCATTTTCAAGGGTACAAGCCAAATCTATTGCCCATCTTCTTGCCTGTCCCTCCCCCTACGCGCTATCCCCAAAATAAATGGATTTGTGCAGGGAGGAGTTGACAACCACTCTATTTAAAAGCATACACTGTCAGAGTCAGTGTAATGTGAGCCTCCCTGGCTCTGTCTGTGTGGGACCAGCACAGTATTCCACACCCCTAGTCAATTCTCTCCCAAGCATACATGAAGAGGTCATGTGACAGGAACCTCTGATCACCCCTAAACCAAACTTGACTAGTCACTAAAAACATGTCCTCTTGTTTCTGCATAATGCTGTGGTGCTAGGCCAAGAATTCTCACTCCAATAAACCCAATAAGTAGGTGTGCTAAATAAAAAAAAGCAAATGTTGCTTAGAACTTTGATTTATTTTCAAGCTAGTCAGTTTGGGTCAGTTTGGGTCAGTTTGGGTCATCAGTGTTACTGTAAAAAGCAGTGCTGGTTGAATCATCCATGATCTTTGCACATTATGTATATAGTATCAAGTCAATAACATCACAACATATCAGTTATGGAACTTGTCAAAACTCAGATTTCTCATTTACAGTCAGCCAGGACCCAAGAACTGAAAGAAAGTGAAGATTTGAGAGTTGTTTTTTTATCATAAAACAAACAAACTGGGGCACCGGATGATTGCACAGCCAACAAATCCAAGCCTTTCATCAGTGACATAAAGGAAGACTGAGCCTTGTATTAGCCTTAAATAACTAACACAACCACTATTATCGGTAATTATGGAAATGTTAAGAGAATAATCTTTTGTAATACATATGAATATTAATTTTCTTATGGTCATAGACTAGTGGCAGTGAGAAACAGCTGAGTTGGAAAGAGCAAAGGACAGAATGAGAGAGGAGATCAGATCGAGAAGGAGACTGCAAAGTGGCTGAAAGTGGAGATGAGCTCAGACATGCCAAAGACATTTCTTCTCTCTTGGACCACTGACTCTGCCTTCATTGACACACTTGACCCATTTAGCTAACTACCGCTACTGTTTAATTACTCAACCTCTTAAAGAGTACAGTTTGGAATAAAAGGTGACGCATAGATGATGCTTTGCCTGTCTTATGTTGAGGCAGTTCCTAACACAGGAACACATTTAACTCTAAGACATCTGGGTAAAAAGAAAAGAGGTGTTATTTATGGTGTCAGGCAGGGTGTTGTGAGGTGAAGAGATGACAGCAAGTGCACTGCAATGACCCATTCATCAACAAGATCTGACATTCCCTACAGGACTCATTTGCCTCCCTGAATCTGATCCAGTGCTACATCCAACCCAAGCTCTTTCCATATATGGACAGTCTAAAGTAGGAAATCACTTTCCATGATAGAGTTACCCAAGGGGATGTGTGTGTGTGTGTGTGTGTGTGTGTGTGTGTGTGTGTGTGTGTGTGTGTGTGTGTGTGTGTGTGTGTGTGTGTGTGTGTGTGTGTGTGTGTGTGTGTGTGTGTGTGTGTGTGTGTGTGTTTCATATTTTGCACTTTTCTCATGTCATTGCCATTTCTACACTGTAGCTATAAAACCTTTGAATCTTGAATCTTAATTTGCGTCTTTTTATCTCAACACGTTTCTTGTGACCCTGTTGACTATTCACCCACAAAAGGTTTGATGGTTCTGTGACCACGCCCCAATATCTTAGTAATTTCAAGAGCTGCATCCCTCTGAAAGACTTTTCAGTCAGTTAAATCTCTTTTTTGGCCCATTTTGCCTGAGTCCGAGAAGCTGCCTAATAATTCTGCACACCTCGATAAAGGGTGTTGATCTCATTAGGCCACAAATACACATGACCTGATATACTTAAATATAATAGGCATTCAAGTTCATACAGCTTGGAGTTGGAAAATATGCATAAAATTGATGACATGTGACCCGCTCTATCGAAATCAGTCGGAAGTCGCAACGGTTCATTTCAAAATAAACGTGGATTTTCGTAACAAAAATAGTTTTTCGGGGTTCGGGTGTTTTGTTTGATTTTAAATAAACAAAGTCTTGGCTTTCAGAATATGAAACTTTTATTTCCAAAATCACATGATAAATAAATGTTTGAAGCTTGTAAAGGGAGGATGACAGGCACCGCGCACTCTGCTCTTCCACAGCGCCGCTCCCCCTCCCTCTCGCTGAAATTATGAATGTAAGGCGTATAGTAATCATAGATAACACGGCAGGGTCCGTTACAGTTTGTTTTCATCTGTTTTCAAATAAACAAAGTCTTGGCTTTCAGAATATTAAACTTGTTTCGGCAAATTCAGATGATAAATACAGCTTTGAAGCTTGTAACGGCATAATTACAAGCGGATAACGGAGTAACTTAACGTCACAGCAGGCATAACAACAGCCGGTGTTTCTCGTGAGGGTTTTCCCCGGGAAACAAACACAATACACACAAACGCAAACATACACAAACACACACACACACACTCGCGAGCTTCCCCCAGACCAGTAATCCAAACGAAAATATTTCCCCTCCGTACTATTTTGATCATTTGCTAATAACCAATCAGATCGACGGATTCCAGAGAAGAGGAAACTTTGAAGGCCTTTTTCTCAAAATGACGACTCTGTGACAGTCATTATATAATGTGACATATTTCGCTTAATATTTGGAGTACAACAACAATCCTGATATCATTAGAAAGCTATGAATCTCCTCTTTCCAGCAGTGTATACAACTCAAAATGTGTCTTATGTTCAAAATACTCACTTGCCTAATAATTCTGCACAAAGTGTAGAATCAAGCTTCCATGTTCAAAGTCACACTGGGTTTATTTTTTTCTGCTTGCAATGTTTGGATGGAATGAAAGGCAGAGTTCTAACATTTAGGGTAGGAGGAGTGGTTTATACTAGAACCACAGTCTAGGTGGTGTTGCAGGTAGGGAGTGGCTTGTGATTTTGAATAGCAGCCCCATTAAATGGTAGGCTACATTGCATTTAAGAAAACAATCCTTTCCTACTGGTCCACTAGGTAGTTGGAGGTTCAGGTTCAGGTAACAGTACTGTTCCATCCATCAGATTATTTTTGTCTTTTCTATTTAAAAAATAGGAAGATAGTTCCTGAAAGCAGAATGCTAAGATGGTGCTCCGTGTTTGCCTGCTCTCCAACTCTGCATTTATGTGGTTTTACTTCAGTGTTTGTTTACATTTCGGTGTGTGCTTTTAACTTTGTCCGCAACATGCGAGCCGACCACCCCAACTCTACCATACAACATAGTAGAGAGGAACTTTAACACATCAGCAACTTGGTGGACAGCAGTCTATCACAGAGACCAGAAAACAATGGGGAATCGCC